TATATCTTTTCTTGCCACTTTCAGCAACACTGGTATGCCTACTGGGTGTCATGATAGCTTAGCAGATACACGTTATGGTAATTAAAAAATCAAAACACAATTCACAAAACACAGCTAGCTTGTAGGAGAGAAGTGGAAATGAACAGGTATTCACAAAAGCTTGGATGGTGGTGTCAGAGGATGGTAGGAGGAAGTATTTTGTCCTGCCTCCTGAGAGCAGGAATTCGACTGGAATGGATTAATGGCATTCCAGTTAATTTAAATGAGGAAAATTGACTCAGCGTATAAGCAGATCGGGATACAAGCAAGGTCACGGAACGGCTTAAACTCGTAAGCCGAGGTTCCACTGTATTATCATGTATCTCTCTCCAATGAGTACATGTTCAAGACTTGAAGACATTCCCAGTAGTTTAGGTGCTTTACTGTCTCAATGTGAGCCATAAACAATCTTTGTATTTGTTCCAGCTCTGATATTTCTCCTGCTTTGAAGGGGGCCATCAGCACTGAGCAATATTCTAAGAGAGGGAGCACTACTGATTTGAAGAGTCACCATTGGCATTATTTCCCTTGTTTTGAAAGTTTTCAATACCCACCCCATCATCTTCCTGGCTGTCATGATCTTTGTCTTGTTATGGTCTTTAAAAGAAAGGTCAGCTGACATAATTATTCCCAGGTACACAAATAACCCATATATTGAAGAGAGGAGCTTACGACGACGTTTCAGTCCCCTTTCCTCTTCCTCTTTCTCCCTGGGGGGCCTTGTGTCCGGGGGGTTCCTTCATTATACATCATTCCCCCCCACCCCGGGGGGTAGGGCCCCCCCGGGGGGACTAGCCCTTTCAGGCGCCCCCGGGGGGATTTGGAGGTCCGGGGGCCCTTATTCCCCCTACTATAATAATACTATAACTACTATACACTTCTACCATAATAACATATATACCACTTATCCTTAACATACTACCACCACTACTACACCATATACCATATAAATACTAATAACCACTATAAATAAAACACTATAACTATATAAAGTATATAATATATAAAATACTACATATATACAAGCTACTACAATATAGTATAATACTTACTAATACCACGTACTACGACTTTAAATACTACCAATATACTACACCATATACTATACATACTACTATCTACTACTAACCAAATATATACTGAATATACTAATATGACCACGTAAATAACTATACTACCATATATACATTTTACTACCACTAACTCTACAACACACTAGCATATATATAATTATCTACTACCACTAGACTACATAATACACTATATATAAACCATATAAACTAACTATACATATATACTATAATATATTACCAATATACCAACTACTACTATACCACCACTACTACCATACTATACTACCACAACTACTACCATTTCTACTACACTAATACTACACTTACTACTACTACACTAATACTAATAAAAATAACCTAACACTCTACTAATACCACTCTCACTCCACTACTATAATAACCACTTTCTACTCTAACTACCACTACTATACCATATACCACTACCACCTATTACCACCAGACACTATAATACTACCAATAATACTATTAACTACTATAACCACTGAAACTATACCACTACCCCTAACGTACAACCTCACTACAAATAACCACCATAACACTACTACCAAATACCACTACTACCTACCAACCACTACTGACTACCCTACTACACCACTACCACTACTACCACCACTACCACTACTACTCCCACACTACTACTACCATACACTACTAAATACTCACACTTTTACTACTACACTACTCACTACTACCACTACCACTACGTACTACCCTACACTCTAACCCTACCCCTACTCCACTACCACACCACTACACTCCACCACTCTACAACCACCACTACTACCACCACTACACTACCACCCACTACTACCACCACTACTACTACCACACTACTACTACCACACACTACTACCACTACACTACCACTAACTACTACCACTATACTACTCCACACTGCCTCCTCCTCCCCTCTCCCCTCCCCTCCTCCCCCCCTCCCCCCTCCCCCCCCCCCTCCCCCACCTCCTCCCCCTCCTCCTCCCCTCCTCCTCCCCTCCTCCTCCCCCTCCTCCTCCTCCCCCTCCTCCTCCTCCCCCTTCCTCCTCCTCCCCCTCCTCCTCCCCCTCCTCCTCCTCCCTTTCCTCCCTCCCACCTCCCCCTCCTCCTCCTCCCCCTCCTCCCCCTCCCCCTCCTCCCCCCTCCCCCTCCTCCCCCCCCCCTCCTCCCCCTCCTCCTCCCCCTCCCTCCCCCCTCCTCCTCCCCCTCCTCCTCCCCCTCCTCCCTCCCCCTCCTCCTCCCCCCCCCCCCCCCTCCTCCCCCCCCCCCCCCCCCCCCCCCCCCCCCCCCCTCCTCCTCCTCCTCCTCCTCCTCCTCTTCTTCTTCTTCTTCTTCTTGCCTATATATACCCCTTCATGCTCTACTTATCCTTAGTGTGACTTTGTAAATGGTCCAAGTCAGACCGAAACGTCGTCGTAAGCTCCTCTCTTCTATATGCAGGTTATTTGTGTATCATTCCAGTCACTGTATTGTGCCTTTTTTTGTTATTTATTCCCAGGTCTTTTACATGTTCCTTTCATTCTATTTGGTGACTCTCTTGAGTTTTGTATACAGTGTTCCTTTTGAGTTCTTTGTTCTTTCCATACCTAAGCAGCTGGAACTTACCACCATTGAACATCATGTTGTTCTCCACTGCCCACTGGAAAACCCTGCTTATGTCTTCCTGTAATTTTTCAGTGTCCTCTGCCATAGTGACTTCCATGCTTATTTTATTGTCATCTGCAAATGGATGCAAAAGTGTGCTGGGTGTTCTTATCTATGTCTGCTCTGAGGATGAGAAACAGCAAAGTTGCCAGGACCGTGCCTTGGGGCACTGAGCTTTTGACCTCACTGATGCTGGATCTTGCATTGTTCACCACTACTTTTCGTGTTGTGTGTGTTAGGAAACCGAAAATCCATCTGCCTACCTTCTCCATAATGCCCATGGCCCTCATTTTGTGTGCAAAAAAAAAAAAAATCATCTGCCTACCTTCTCCATAATGCCCATGGCCCTCATTTTGTGTGCTATCACTCCATGATCACATTTGTCAAACGCCTTTGCAAAATCTGTGTAAATCACATCTGCATTTTGGTTGTCTTACAGTGCCTCTGTAATTCTGTCATAATTCAAATTCAAAGTTTATTCTCTATAAGGATTACAATGCTGAGTTTACAGAATTTGGTTATTGTGTGGTTTACATGTAGTAAAATAATAATTACAGAGTGTACTACTAGAACACCTAGCATGGCTAGGCATTTCGGGCAGACTTAGATTAATTCTTAAATTTAAAATATTACAAATTATGAGGTAAGTTGGTATTATGGCTGAGTGACTAAATACTAATTTGTGAGTTTAGCAATGTGAATGCTTTTGTTTTGGCACAATACATAGTTTCAGTATTGGAATATCACAGGCCAACTTATGACTAGTTAGGATTCGTTATTTTAAGATTGAGATTGATATTTCTGTTTATGGTCAAATGGGTGAGTGAGTGTAAGTGTGAACCACCAGGTGGTATTCATGTAATTAGTTGATGGGGTGTATCAGCAGCTGTGACAGGCATGATCGTCCTGCTCTAAAAACCATGCTGGTTCAGGTTATGCTGGTTGTGCTGGTCCATGAAATTTGTAATCTGCCATCTCTTCACTCTTTCGAATATTTTTATGATGTGAGAAGTTAAGTCTATTGGTATGTAATTTTTAGCTAGTGCTCTACTACCTCCCTTATGCAAAGGAGCTATGTTTGCACACTTTAAGATCTCTGATATTTCTCCTAGATCTAGGTTCATTCTCCAGAGAATACTGAGGGCTCGTGCTAGTGGTCCTTTGCACTTCTTTGTAGATAGAGCATTCCATGAATCTGGTCCAGGTGTTGAGTGAGTGGGCATGTTGTCCATTTCTTTTTCGAAATCTAGGGGATTTGTACTGATGTCAGTTAGTTGGTCTGTGCGGCCTTCTTCTGGAGTGAAAAGTATTTCTGCATTTTCTACCTTGCTGTCATTTAAGTAGATGAGGTAGAACATAATTTGAAGATTGCTGTCATTTAGTGGATTGCTGAACACCAACTCATACTGTTCTTTTTGGATTTTACCCATTTCCTGTTCATCATCAGTATACAAGTCTCTCAGTAGTGGTCTAGTTCTACAGGTAGTTCTTAGCTTGGATTTTGCATAGAAATAGAAATATTTTGGGTTTCTTGTAATATCCTGTATGACCCTTTGTTCCCTTTGTACTTCTGTTAGGTATGACATCCTAAGTTTTTGCTCTAGTTCAGTGATCTCTCATTTAAGCCTATCTTTCCTCTATTGAAGCATATTTGTGTTTTTAAGCAATTCAGTAAACTGTTTTCTTCTTCTGTACCATCTCCTACGTTAATGTTGCAGTTTTATAACTGTAGTGTAAGCACACCTCTGTAAAGACAATGATGGAGTGAATGATAAAAGTTTTTCTTTTATGGGCCACCCTGCCGGGGTGGGAGAAGGCCGATGTGTTAATAAATCAAATATTCACTGAGAGAAATATACCTCTAAGTGTATATATCCTGTGAGATATTCATGTACACTGTATCCTTAATTAGCTCCCACTACTGTATACAGTAGTGGTATACCACCAGTTGTATACAGTAGTGGGATACCACCACTTGTATACAGTAGTGGGATACCACAACTTGTATTCAGTAGTGGAATACCACCACTTGTATACAGTAGTAGTAGTATACCACTATTTGTATACAGTAGTAAACCTCCACTTATATACAATAGTGGGGATACCACCACTTGTATCCAGTAGCAGGTATCCCACCATTATCATCACTTATAATGTCATTTATTTCCCATAATGTTTTCAGAGATGATGAAAATAATTCACAAAACTCATCCATATTTCTTCCAACAGATCCATTAAAGTTTTCGAAGTCGGAACCTTCCCTCACATCCAGGTCATCTGGAATGTGGTCCTCGTATTCCACCAGCGATCTCGAGTTCATGGATGAATCCGATATTTCAGTGTCCATGGAGGTTTTGGCAGATCTTAATGCATCCCAGAAGACATCAAAATCATTTTATCTTGGATTGTAATTGAAAATCATGTTTTTTACTGTAGAATAATGAAAATTTTGTGTGTATTAAGAGCAGAATCAAGACAGCATAGTTGTAGGTCACAATGCTGACAGGTATGTGGAGAAAATACAGAAATGGTGCTCCTTGACTTACAATGGTCTTACGTTCTGACAAACCCATGATAAGTCGAAAATATTGCAAGTCATATATGAATTTTTGCTAAATAAATAAGTAAATAACTACTGTCAGTGAATAAGTAAATAAACAAATAATTACCATAACTAACTAAATACTACTGGTATTGAAAAATAAATGCACAGAAGCTATGGACTTGCCACCTTCATACTGGGTAATTGTCTTAAGTTTCATCTCCAAATTGCTTTTGCACCATCGTAAAGTCGAAATATTGCAAGTCGAACCATCTTGAGTCTAGGACCACCTGTATTTTCCTTTAACTGGAACTTTTCAAGGTGAACTCTGGTATTAAATACCAATAATTACTTAAGATGTGTGTTGTACTTAGATATTCATTGAGGAGACATTTTTGATAGTGGGGATTCTTCAGTTCACTTGGATAAAAATAAAGTTCCATAACTCCTCATTAAATGTAGTATCCCGGTGCTTAATAATAATAATAACAATCTTTATTTCTACAAGTACATGATACAACTTATACAGACCATAGCTGACATCAATGACATACTACATAGAAAGCCCCTGGATATGCAGAGCATTTTGGGCAACTTAGGTTTAGTTTTGTCCCCCAGGATGTGACCTACAGGCAGGCTCTGCTTTACAGCGTTTTGCTAATTCAGCAGTTTTCAATTATACCCATTCTTCATTTATTCAGACTTCCTGTAACAAATATATTTACCACTCGCTATAAGCTAAGGATGAAAATATTTTATGGTAAGTAATGTGTGTACTGTATATGCAGTTTTTAGGCCTAGCTCTATTCCTCACTTGATATATGATAGTATAAACATGTTATCAGGCTTTTATATGCATTTGAAAATGAAAAAAGGGTATACAGTGGAACCCCGAATGTCGGCTGCTGCGTTTATTGACCGAATCGTATTTAGGCTGGTTTTTGGGTCGAAATTTTCCTCCATATTTCAGCCGGTGCCTCGCAAGTTGGCTGTATTAGACGTGTCAGCTCACCTCCCGCCAGGACGCCACGTGTAGGTGAGCCAGTCTCCCTGTGTCTCTCGGAGAATGAGCATATTCTCTGCGCATTCATCCAAACATTTCCTTAAAATCCATTGGTTTTTGTGCTTGTTTATTAAGTGCGTGTGCTCCAGCTTGCCAGGATGTATGGCAAAAACAATTCAACAATCACTTCTATCTTGGCAAAGAAAGAACAAATCAAGGAAGCTGATGTGGTGGAAGGTGTAAACATGTTAATGAAAAAGAGATCACAAACAATGGAAGATGTGGAGAGAGGCAGGGAATGTAACAGGCAGGCAGGGAGTGTAGCAGGGAAACAGGGAGTGAGGAAGGGAGGCAGGGAGTGTAGCAGGCAGGCAGGGAGTGTAGCAGGCATGCAGGAAGTGAAGCAGGCATGCAGGGAGTGTAGCAGGGAAACAGGGAGTGTGGAAGGGAGGCAGGAAGTGTAGCAAGCAGGCAGGGAGGAAAGTAACCCAGAGAGGGCTTTGATACCTGAAGTTCTTATGGAAGGGGGTTCCCCTTCCAAACAATAATCAGTCCTCCCTCTCTCCTCCTCCCTGTCTTCCATAAGCCAACAAGAGTCTTGAATAAAGGTATGTAATAGTGACTTAAATGTTCATTTATTTATTTTATTTAGTTCTCATTGTTTTGTGTATGTAAAACTATAATCTTTAAAAAATTGATTTTTTGTTAATTATTTGGGTGTCTGGAACGGATTAATTTTATTTACATTAATTCTTATGGGAAATATTGCTTTGAATTTAGGTCTTTTTGAATTTAGGCCGACCTTCTGGAACGGATTACAGTCAATATTCGGGGTTCCACTGCATTTCACTTTACAGCGATTTTCACTTTACAGTAAAAGCCCAGAACCTAAATTGCTTAATTAAGTTGGGCCTTCCTGTACTTATTGCTAGGTAACACCCAGGTACCTACAAAGTGCTTCAGCTATGAGGGTAGTATGTTCACCCCATGTAGAGTGGGTTGGTAGTTTGGACCTGCATAACTTGCTGTGCTCATAAAGGAGGGCCCCATTTTTATGGCTGTTAGGTTCCTGATCCTCAACGATAAGCAAAAATTGCCGGCAAGTGGAAAAGAGCATTTTTTCAATATCAGCTCTGTCTAAAATGCCTAATAATGTGTTTACACTCTCATATATTAAGTGCTCAATACAGCTAAGCATAAAAAAAAAGATACAAAGTAAATTAAATACACAGTACATGCAATACTTACCTTTAAATATGGTGCTGGCTGCCCTTCCCTTATGCAACTGTTGTGAGTAAACAGAGAAGAAGCACTGAAAATAATGTGCAGTGACTTAATTGAAAACTGCTAAAATAGCAGAACACCAAAAAAAAGGGAGGCAGAAATGTGGGGCCCTCCTGTATTGGTCTGGTACATGGAGGGACATTCTCCAAGGCTGTACACAGATGCAGTGGTCGCTCAATTATCTAGTCTAAAGGGAAGACTGGTGTGGATGGGTAATTAAAATTTTAGATAATAAGGATAATAAAAATAGCGATAGGTGATGTCATCATGGCTATTCAATATATTTATAGATGAGGTTGTAAGAGAAGTGAATGCTTGGGTATTAGCAAGAGGTGTGGGGTTAAAAGATAAAGAATCTAACACAAATTTGGAGTTGTCACAGTTGCTCTTTGCTGATGACACTGCACTTTTTGGAGATTTTGAAGAGAAGTTGCAGAGGTTGGTGAATGAGTTTGGTAGGGTATGTAAAAGAAGGAAATTAAAAGTGAATACAGCCTCTTCTCACTTAATGAGTTCTGTTCCTAAGACTATGTCAGTAAACGAATTTGTTGCTAAGTGAGGAACATGCTATGATGGTAGTGGGTTTGTGTCAGCCATCTTTGATATTATTTTAATGCCACCTTTGATCATTTATAACATTTCTGGTATATTTTTAAATGTTTATACAGTAGAGTATAGTACATATATTGTAATAAACAGAATAGAGGAAATCAGCTCTTGGTATACATACTGGTCAGAGAGCCTGTTGTAAGTCCAAATCGTCGGTAAACGAGTATGTCGCTAAGTGAGGAGAGGCTGTATGGGAAGAGTAAGGTGATGAGGATAGCAAAAAACTTTAGGTAATGACAGATTGGAGGGAGAGAGTATGGAGGAGATGAATGTATTCAAATATTTAGGAGTGGATGTATCAGCAGATGGGTCTATGAAAGATTAGGTGAATCATAGAATTGATCAGGGGAAAAAGGTGAGTGGTGCACTGAGGAGTCTGTGGAGACAAAGATCATTATCCATGAAAGCAAAGAGGGGAATGTATGCTAGTATAGTTTTAACAACACTGTTATATGGGTGTGAAGCATGGGTGGTGAATGTTGCAACAAAGAGAAGGCTGGAGGCAGTGGAGATGTCATGTCTGAGGGCATTGTGTGGTGTGAATATAATGTAGAGAATCAGTAGTTTGGAAATTAGGAAGAGGATTACCACAAACTATTATCCAGAGGGCTGAGGAGGGGTTGTTGAGGTGGTTTGGACATGTAGAGAAGCTGGAATGAATTAAATTGACTTGGAGAGCATGTAAATCTGTAGTAGAAGAAAGGCTGGGTAGGGGTCAACCTAGGAAAGGTTGAAGGGAGGGGGTAAATCAGGTTTTGTGTGCGAGGGGCTTAGACTTCCAGCAAGCATGCATGAGCGTGTTGGATAGGAGCGAGTGGAGACAAGTGGTTTTTAGGACTTGATGTGCTGTTGGAGTGTGAACAAGGTGACATTTATGAAAGGTTTCAGGGAAACCAGCAGGGTGGACTTGAGTCCAGGAGGTGGGAAATACAGTGCTTGCACTCTGAAGAAGGGGTGTTCATGTTACAGTTTTATAACTTTAGTGTAAGCAAGGCAAGACAGTGATGGAGTGAATGACGATGAAAGTTTTTTTTTTATTTTTTTCAGGCCACTCTGTCTTGGTGAGAAACAGCTGATGTGTTAAAAAGAAAAAAAGGATAATCAGGCCAAGAGGTAGTGCCCTGATTCTGGGAACAGGTTTATAATCCAGATTATTATTACACTAATACAGTACAATTTTTATTTCTTTATGCTGGACAATAATGTTATATACATGTAGTATATAGAGCCTCTCCTCACTTGGCGGCATACTCATTTACCGACGACTCGGACTTACGACAGGCTCTCTTGACCAATATGCATACCTAAATAATATATATTAAGACTTATGATGGGCTCTCTGACCAGTATGCATAAATAACGTATTAGAGCTGATTTCCTCTATTCTTTTTATTACAGTATACAGTGCACTACTGTATAAGCATTTAAAATACCAGAAATGTCATAAATGGTGCAAAGGTGACATTAAGGCAATATCAAAGATGACTGACACAAACCCACTGCCATTATAGTATGCTCCTCACTTAGCGACGAATTCGTTTACCGACATGGTCTTAGGAACAGAACTCCATCGTTAAGTGAAGAGAGGCTGTATACAGTACACTACTGTATAAACATTTAACCTTTAAACGGTCCAAACGTATATATATATTCACTCGCGCAGCGCCCCGAATATTTTGAAAAAAAACTATTTTTTTTTTATAGAAAAAAAGAGCACATTTTTTAAAATGTTTTAGAATAAAAAAAAATAGGGTCAGTACTTACAGTGATATGAGGCAGAGAAGTTGGCACTGGATGCTCATGTGACGGCAACATGGAGTCCTGCCACTTGCAGAAGTGTTGCCGATTTACCTTTCTTCTATTTTTTGTATTATTTTATATAATTTTTATGTTCTGATAATTACAATTTATAGTAGTTCTTATCATTTCATAACCAATCTTTGTTCTGACACTAGTATTAGGTACTGAAATTGTACTCAAATTGTCATGAGTACATTGACAGGTGGACATTTACACCTGCTTTGATCATTTATTATTGTCTTGGAATATATACAAAGTATTTATAGGTCGCAGCAATGTTTTGGATATGTGGAAGTATATAATAATAATAATGAGGAGAAGGAGGAAGAGGAGAACGAGGAAGAGGAGAAGGAGGAAGAGGAGAAGGAGGAAGAGGAGAAGAGAGAGAAAGGGAGGAGGAGGAGGGGAGAGAAGGAGGAGGAGAGAAGGAGGAGGAGGAGAAGGAGGAGGAGGAGAAGGAGGAGGAGGAGAGGAGAAGGAGAGAGGAGAAGAGAGGAGGAGAAGGAGGAGGAGAAGGAGGAGGGAGGAGAAGGAGGAGGAGGAGAAGGAGGAGGGAGAGAAGGAGGAGGAGGAGAGGAGGAGGAGGAGAGGAGGAGGAGGAAGGAGGAGGAGGAGAGGAGGAGAGGAGAGAGGAGGGGTAGGAGAGGAAGGAGGAGAGGAGAGGAGGAGGAGGAGGAGAGGAGGAGAGGAGAGAGGAGGAGAGGAGAGAGGAGGAGGAGGAGGAGAGAGGAGGAGGAGGAGGAGGAGAGGAGGGAGAGGAGGAGAGGAGGAGGAGGAGGAGGAGAGGAGGAGGAGGAGGAGAAGGAGGAGGAGGAGGAGGAGAAGAAGAATACATAATAATAATAATAGGTAATAATAAGTTCCCTTGAAGCATGAAAAACAAAGTCCACCCCTGACAGTGACATGACAAGATGAGATAACATCTGATAATAGCTGACCTTTGATGAGCATACACGAGGATGGAGGAGGGTGCAGCTGATAAGAAAAGATTAGAGGTGACATTTAATGAGCATCGCCCTCGCTTTGTTTTCGCTGGTGCACAAACATGTCTTGTCTGTCTATTTGTCTGTCAGTCTAGCTCCCTGTCTATCTGTCTAGCTCTCTGTCTCAGAGAGAGCCACAAGACTGCGTCATCACGTTTACTCACATCTTCAAGCAGAGTATAGCACTTTGTCTGGATTTTTTTGGTTATCCTAGGTAATTTATACTATGTATACTTGTATTTATGTGTACCTGTGAGACATAAAGACAGATAGACAAAGAGACAGACACAGATAGACATGAGACAGAGATGGATAGACAGAGATAGACATAGACAGAGATCGACAGACCCTAAACTTGGGGTTAACATCACTTTCCTCTTAAAAGAGGAGTGTTAATATGACATTACATCAGTGAATCCTTGGTGTTTGGCACACTATTTGCTCTAGCTGGGGCTCAATTTAACTGGCGCTCCCACAAAGTACAAAGTGGTCCCAGACTTTTTTAATACTGCACACACTGAGTGTTAAGACCCATTCTATGCTGACCAGGCATCTCAGGCCAATCATGCCAAATTTGAAGGCAGGAAAATTAAAACACATACAGTGGACCCCCGGTTAACGATATTTTTTCACTCCAGAAGTATGTTCAGGTGCCAGTACTGACCGAATTTGTTCCCATAAGGAATATTGTGAAGTAGATTAGTCCATTTCAGAGCCCCAAACATACACGTACAAACGCACTTACATAAATACACTTACATAATTGGTCACATTTGGAGGTGGTCGTTATGCGGGGGTCCACTGTATGTACGTTTGGGGTGCTATGCGTATGAGCGCATATATACGTTTGGACCATTTAGGGGTTAAAAATATATTAATCCTTAAACTGTCCAAAAGTAGATCTAAATTTACTCATGTAGCGCTCCGAACGTAGATCTATGTTCGATTTTACATGCTTTCTTATTTATAAAAAATGTAGATCTACGTTTGGAGTGCTACGCGAGTGAACATAGATCTACGTTTGGACAGTTTAAGGGTTAAAAAGGGTATAAATGGTGCAAAGGTGACATTAAAACAATATCATGGATGGTTGGCACAAATCCACTACCAGAACAGTATGCTCCTTGCTTAGCAACAAATTCATTTATTGATATGGTCTTAGGAATGGAACTCTGTCATTAAGTGAGGAGAGGCTGTATACTCACTGAAGCAGAGGAGAGAGAAATGCATAATATATACGTACCTGGAAAGTACTCGAGGGCCTGGTCCCAAATCTGCACACTGCCATAACAGCTTACCGGAGTGAGAGATATGGGAGAAAGTGCAAAATAAACCTGGTGAGGAACAGGGGTGTGGTGGGACAATAAGGGAAGACTGTCAACATTCGTTGCTCCAGACTATTCAACATCCTACCAGAAGATATCAGAAACATGGCTGGAAAAAGTGTAGAAGCCTTCAAGAGGAAACTGGATAAGTGTCTTCACCAGATGTCAGATCAACCAGGCTGTAATAGATATGTGGGGCAGTGGGCTTCCAGCAGCACAGCCTGGTTGACCAGGCAAGCACCAGACGAGAGTAGTGAGATTCTCAAAACTCATCAAAGGTATATAAAGGTACATATAGTATATATACATGTACAGTGGACCCTCGACCAACGATGGCATTGTCTTAACGTTAAATCAGACTAGCGATACATTTTAACGCAAAAATTTTGCCTCGACTAGCGCTAAAAAACTCGACCAACACGATTCATTCCGTTCGAGACGCGTCCACTTGTGGCCAGTGTTTACAAGCCAGCCAGCCACCACGGTCCCATCCAAACATACAATTGGAACATTTCATATTATCACAGCATTTTTAGTGATTGCACCTGCAAAATAAGTCACCATGGGCCCCAAGAAAGCTTCTAGTGCCAACCCTACAGCAAAAAGGGTGAGAATTACTATGGATATGAAGAAAGAGATTATTGTTAAGTATGAAAGTGGAGTGCGTGTCTCCGAGCTGGTCAGGTTGTACACAAAACCCCAATCAACCATCGCTACTATTGTGGCCAAGAAAACGGCAATCAAGGAAGCTGTTCTTGCCAAAGGTGCAGCTATGTTTTCGAAACTGAGATCGCAAGTGATATAAGATGTTGAGAGACTGTTATTGGTGTGGATAAACGAAAAACAGATAGCAGGAGATAGCATCTCTCAAGCGATCATATGTGAAAAGGCTAGGAAGTTGCATGAGGATTTAATTAGAAAAATGCCTGCAACTAGTGGTGAAGTGAGTGAGTTTAAGGCCAGCAAAGGTTGGCTTGAGAGATTTAAGAATCGTAGTGGCATACATAGTGTGATAAGGCATGGTGAGGCTGCCAGTTCGGACCAAAAATCAGCTGAAAAATATGTGCAGGAATTTAAGGAGTACATAGACAGTGAAGAATTGAAACCTGAACAAGTGTTTAATTGTGACACTGACAATGTTGTGAAACACTTTAGGAATGTCATAAAGGAACGGGAGGTACAGGCCTCTATGGACAGATATGTTGTGCGACAGAGGTCCAGTGACTCTCAAGCTGGTCCTAGTGGCATTAAAAGAAGAAGGTAAGTAACCCCGGAAAAGGACTTGACACCTCAAGTCCTAATGGAAGGGGATTCCCATTCTAAACACTAACACCATCCACACTCTCCCCTCCTCCCATCCCATCAATCATCCCCAGATCTTTAATAAAGGTAAGTGTCATGTAATTGTACATGTCTTCTTCAGTTTGTGTGTTAAAATTAATATTTCATATGGTAAAAAAAAAAATATTTCAATACTTTTGGGTGTCTTGCATGGATTAATTTGATTTCCATTATTTCTTATGGGGAAAATTAACTCGACTAACGATAATTTCGATTTACGATGAGCTCTCTGTAATATATATACCTGAAGTATATATGCATGTAGTGTATATATATACATGAAGTATGTATATACAGTGGACCCTCGACCAGCGATATTAATCCATTCCTGAGAGCTCATCGTTAATCGAAATTATTGTTAGTCGAGTTAATTTTCCCCATAAGAAATAATGGAAATCAAATTAATCCGTGCAAGACACCCAAAAGTATTGAAAAAATTTTTTTTTACCACATGAAATATTAATTTTAATACACACAAACTGAAGAAGACATGCACAGTTACATGACACTTACCTTTATTGAAGATCTGGTGATGATTGATGGGATGGGAGGAGGGGAGTGTGGATGGTGTTAGTGTTTAGAAGGGGAATCCCCTTCCATTAGGACTTGAGTTTGTAAGTCCTTTTTCAGGGTTACTTCCCTTCTTCTTTTAATGCCACTAGGACCAGCTTGAGAGTCACTGGACCTCTGTCGCACAACATATCTGTCCATAGAGGCCTGTACCTCCCGTTCCTTTATGACATTCCTAAAGTGTTTCACAACATTGTCAGCGTCACAATTAAACACTTGTTCATGTTTCAATTCTTCACTGTCTATGTACTCCTTGAATTCCTGCACATATTTTTCAGCTGATTTTTGGTCCAAACTGGCAGCCTCACCATGCCTTATCACACTATGTATGCCACTACGATTCTTAAATCTCTCAAACCAACCTTTGCTGGCCTTAAATTCACTCACATCGTCACTAGTTGCTGGCATTTTTCTAATTAAATCCTCATGCAACTTCCTAGCCTTTTCACATATGATCGCTTGAGAGATGCTATCTCCTGCTATCTGTTTTTCGTTTAACCACACCAATAACAGTCTCTCAACATCTTCTATCACTTGCGATCTCAGTTTCGAAAACATAGTTGCACCTTTGGCAAGAACAGCTTCCTTGATTGCCATTTTCTTGGCCACAATAGTAGCGATGGTTGATTGGGGTTTTGTGTACAACCTGGCCAGCTCGGAGACACGCACTCCACTTTCATACTTAGCAATGATCATTTCTTCATATCCATAGTAATTCTCACCCTTTTTGCTGTAGGGTTGGCACTAGAAGCTTTCTTGGGGCCCATGGTGACTTATTTTGCAGGTGCAATCACTAAAAAGGCTGTGATAATATGAAATGTTCCGATTGTATGCTTGGAAGCGACCGCGGTGGCTGGCTGGCTTGTAAACACTGGCCAGAAGTGGACGCGTCTCAGACGGAACGAATAGTGTTAGTCGAGTTTTTTAGCGCTAGTCGAAGCAAAATTTTTGCGTTAAAATGTATCTCTAGTCGGATTTATCATTAATCGATGCCATCGTTGGTCGAGGGTCCACTGTATATACATGTATATACACTGTATACCCTGCCTCGGTGGGAGACGGCCGACTTGTTGAAAAAAAAAAAAAAAAAAAAAAAATGTATATATATATACATGAAGTACATATGCATGTATATATACACATGAAGTACATATGAATGTATATATACATATAACTGTATATTATATGGAGATGGGAAGTACAGTGCCTGCACTCTGAAGGAGGGGTGTTAATGTTGCAGTTTAAAAATTGTAGTGTAAAGCACTCTTCTGGCAAGACAGTGATAGTGTGAATGATGGTGAAAGGTTTTCTTTTTCGGGCCACCCTGCCTTGGTGGGAATCGGCCATTGTGTTAATAATAAAATAATTCTCCATGAGGAAGTTGTAAAAGAATCCTTCCTCCATAAGTCATTAGTGTTGTAAGAGGTGACTAAAATGCTGAGAGCAAGGGGCTAGTAATACCTTCTCCTGTATAAATTAAAGCTACGTCTCGATTAGTGCGAAAAATGATTCCTGTAAAGTTGCATTATTCGAATTCATACTATTTGAATCGTGTAATTTTTGCACACGATTTGAAAAGCTCAGGGGAAACTTAGCATTAGTTAATTTTGCACTAAATTGAAATTCGCACTAATCGATGTGCTAAATGTAAAAAAGAAGAAAAACTTCATGGACTCATTTCTTCTTTTTTGGGGTCACTTTTCCTCTCTGAGAGAGAACATGCATGTTCATAATTAAAATTCAAAGTTTATTTTATTTTTTTTTACAATAAAAATAGTAACATTTGTTAATGCCAAGGATATAAGAAAAAAACATGTACACAATTGTATAAATTTTATTTTAAATTAAACATTAAAAAAATATAAATAGTTTATATTGTAACTAGTAAGCCTAGTTAAATTATACAAATTAAGATGCTTCTATTTATATGTATCTCTTCAAGGGGGGGATACCTTGATGCTGGTGGGGTTTAGCACTTCCCCTTGATTATAATAATTAATGCTGGTGGAGGGCTCTTGATCCAAGAACTGGAGCTGTACTTCCCTATCATGGGTCATAACCCACTGCCTCCCATTCTTTGGGCACTGGCTTGGCCCCTTTGGGTTTACCACATTATTTTGAATACAATATAATTATTATAATCAAAAAAGAAGCGCTAAGCCACAAGGGCTATACAGCTTTGAATACAATAATAAATTTAAAATAAAAATAAAACATCAATAATAGTAATCATAATAATAATTATTGTATTACATTGGTTATTTAATATGAGTTGTTTTATCAGTTCCATTGAATCTGTTTAGATTTTTAGAGGCTAATAAATGCAGGATAACCCAAGAGCACCAGGCAGTGTGGCTTACTAACCCAGGATAACCCAAGAACACCAGGCAGTGTGGCTTACTAACCCAGGATAGCCCAAGAAAGCCAGGCAGTGTGGCTTACTAACCCAGGATAACCCAAGAAAGTCAGGCAGTGTGGCTTCCTCTGGGGTTCTTAGCAACTCCTCCAGGATGTGACTTGTAGAACCAAGTATCTTCCAGGTACCTATTTACTGCTAGGTGAATCAGGTCAGCAGATGTCTTAAGGTGTTGCTGTAGCTGCCTGTATGTGCTACTTTCTCCTGGGCTACTGGACACACAATATTTACTCAGGTATATTTATGTCAATATATATATGCTGAGAGTATAATTTAATTTTCTATGAGGAAGTGGAGGAGCCTTCCTCTAAGTCAATTGTGCTGCAGGAGGTGACTAAAATGCTGGGAGCAAGGTGCTAGTAACACCTTCTCCTGTATAAATTACTAAATGCTGGGAGCAAGGTGCTAGTAACACCTTCTCCTGTATAAATTACTAAATGCTGGGAGCAAGGTGCTAGTAACACCTTCTCCTGTATAAATTACTAAATGCTGGGAGCAAGGTGCTAGTAACACCTTCTCCTGTATAAATTACTAAATGCTGGGAGCAAGGTGCTAGTAACACCTCCTGTATAAATTACTAAATGCTGGGAGCAAGGTGCTAGTAACACCTTCTCCTGTATAAATTACTAAATGCTGGAAGCAAAGGGCTAGTAACACCTTCGCCTGTATAAATTACTAAGTGCAAAAAGAAGAAAAATGGGTTTATTCTTTTTGGGTCACACTGCTTCAGTGAGAGATGGCCAGTGTGTGAAAAATAAGTTTAATTTAATCCCTATTAAAAGTTTAATTTAATCCCTATTAAAAGTTTACTTTAATCCCTATTAAAAGTAGTATTCTTGTCTGACTGTGGAAAGGTTATGTGCAACCTGGATGGCCCTTGTGTAGTCAGTGGGGTTTAAATCCCATTAACCAACATTGGGCTGCTGATGCAGTGAATTATGTTAGCTGCACTCTTGGAATACTGTCTCAGCAGCTGCTTAGACAGGGTTCTTGTGTTGTTAATCTGGTGAAACACACTGCACTGACTGGATGAGGACAGGGGAGGCTCTACTATGAAACTAATGAATCTTAAGCTTCATGGCTCCTAATCCAGGAGGGGCCCAGAAGCCACTTTAGTCCACATTGCTTAAAAATATTGGGTCTGCTGCACGAGAAGGGGATTTTAGAAAATAATAATAATATAGTGTAATTCATTACAAAATAATAGGTAAAAATTAAAATGTAGGCTAGCTGTTGCTGGTTGCGAAGGTGACCCCATAACAGGTCAAGCTTCAGGTGGGCCACTGGATGAGAATAGTCTTTTAAGACACCAACTGTTGTCAGTATACTATTGAGGTATTGACTGTATTTGAACAAACTGCTGAGACACTGTTCTTGAGTCTTCTAGTTAGATATCTTTGTTATGCACCCCATACCCATCCTGTGGGTGTTAGTCAAAAGATTACAGAGGCAAATGGGTCCTAGAACTGTACCTCAACATTACAGAGGCACATAATGGGTGCAGGGACTGGACCCATTATGTGCCTGTCAAGTTTTGGTAGCTGAACTGCTAAGTTTTGATAGCTGAACAAATTACAGTGGTAATGAACTATTTACATGTATACACTATTGTTGAACAGACACCCGAGACACAGACTGGCTTTGGACACTTGAAAAGACTGACTGTGTATGAACAAGTTGAGGTAGGATTGCAAGAAGAGACTGCTGGGATTCTGTCTTAGAGTGAACGAAGTGTTGAGGTATTTACTCTGTACCAAGAGGCTGTTGAAGTGAACTTGTACTGCCTCTCTGACAATCACCACTGTGTTGCATCCCACTCACAACACCTGTGCAGTACTGCTGTGTCTGCAGTGATGGCTCTCTTAAATGTTGCAGTGGTACTGTTATTAACTGCTGGGTATTGCAGTTCTGGTTATGTTGCTGAATCTGCAAAGAGAGTTGCATTAACTGGTTTTGCACTATTTGCACAATTTGATCGAGGCGCTCTTTGAGAATTTTCTCTGTAGCAGTACTGTCTGGCAGCTGTGCTAACCTATGATTCAAAGTCTCACAATCATGAGTGTATTTTAACTTGAATGATTTAAACTGTACCAGCAGATCATTCTCTTCAGTGTTGTTCATGTCGTCATTTGTAACTTCACGGTTACCGAGAAGGATTGCTTCCTGGAGTGTCTCTGAGGGAACATACTGTTCTACATTCTTGCGGGAAGATCCGCGGTGTCTGTTTGGCAGAACATGAACAACCTGAGGGATTCTGCAGCGGCTGCTCATCATTATGCGCAGCTGACGGGGGAAGCAGCGTAAGGCACGGGCTACAAGCATCAGCTTCTCATAAGATACCAAGTAAGAGGCTTGCTTTGATAACCTCTTGATCTTGCCCTGGCGCTGAAGGTCCGGAATATCATTTACAGCCAGACCAATCAGGAGGTTGGCCATCAGCACACACACCAGGAACAAGAACAAGACCAAGAAGAGGCAGGTTATGATTGGCATCTCAAGATCCTCCATCAAGTTGCTGTAATCAATCTCACCAATCATCATCATGAGAGTCTTCACCAGGCTGTGAGGGAAGCTTATAAAAGCCTCTTTCTTATGAAATAAAACCATGAAGCTTATAGCAAAGCCTATGATAAGGCTGAAGAAAGCTGCAATAAACTTAGTGATGGACTGGGCCACACGGGAGAACATGAGGACGTAGGTGCCGAGAGATGGAAAGCGACCCAGTAACATCATGAACTCAACCCAACAAAAGAACGCAGAAATAGCGGCAGAGCGCCGCACAACTGGATTCTCGATGTGGCTGTCAGTGTATTTTTCCACGAAGAATACACTGTATGTCACATTTTGTAAGAAGCTTCCGTATGTGCTTGACTGGTTCATGGTGTCATTTGCCATATCATTTGTTCGGAGATTGTCTGACACTTCTATAATACCATCGAGAGGAATGATGTGAGAAAAGACAACAACGGCAGAGCTCCCCAGAGCAATGGTCTTGGTCAGTGTCTCCCACTGTCTTATGTATTTTTTAAAGTTAGCAAACATGATGATCATATCGGGGATAAGAATCAGCAAAAACATTGTAATGTGTAGAATGAAAAATATGGCAAGGCTATCGGTGTGCTCCTGCCACTTCCACGAGTTACCGCCATATGTTATTATTATAAAACTAGTATGCATAAGGAGAAATAAAAAATAAATTAAGACACTACAGTAAAAGAAAGGTTTGATTTTACGCCACTTAATAAAGAGAAAACTCTCCAAAAGTGGGTGCTTGAGAAGAGGCTCTAGACGCGAGTTTGTGAGCTCTGACACGAGGGAACTCTGGATGCCTTCCTTCTCTGAGGACAAGACGGAATAGTCAAAGGTGACTCTGAAGTCTGCATCGTGTTTTGCATTGTTGGAGAGACGGACATGGACGTCAAAGAGGCGTCTCAGGAGCTGAGTCGCAGAAGGGAGATGCTCGAGGATGAGAGAACAACGTGATACACCGTCTCTGTCTACTCGTGTCAAGTGGTCGCCATGGTTGAGGAGCAGCTCACAACAATCGATGGATCCGCTGTGCACAGCATAATGGAAAGGTTCCCGACCTTCATTGTCTGGTGCTGTAACTAGATGTTGTACATGGCTGGTGGCTAAGAGGGTGTCAAGACAGGTGGTACAGCCCCGGTGGCAGGCAGCGTGTAATACTGACTGTCCTCGCTGAGTCACCAGTGTAGGGTCCCCCCCAAGGGAAACCAGTGCCTCTACTACTTTTGGCATACGATGATGTGCAGCCAAAAAAAGCGGAGACTCGCTCCGTTTATTCATGGCATTGACATTAGCGCCGGCCTTGACGAGTTCCTCTACGATCTCCTGCACTGTGGACTCCTTGCCTGCATCACAGTCCATCAGTAGAGCCTTATGGAGCACACTATTGCCCTCATAGTCACACCCGGTCATTAGTCTGTGACTCCTCTTGTCTTGGAGAAGGTAATGGATGACTTGAAGACTGCGAGACTGGGCAGCCAAGTGAAGGACGGAACAATTGTCACTGTCTCTCAGCATGAGGTCTGGATCGTGCTGCAACAACAGCACAGTGGAAGTGAGGTCGCCACGCCGTGCTGCACTGTGTAGAGGAGTCTCCACACGTACTCCTTTGATGGTGGGCGGAGGCTTGCTCATCATATCAGGTGAAGCACCCTGCTGCAGCAGCTGAGCTACACCCTCATGCCAGCCTACACTCACAGCCAGGTGTAATGCCGTCTGACCCAGACCATTCACCTCACCCACCTGACAATCAAACAACACATATATGCTATAATAATGTTAATATAATATAATATGGTACTTTTGTTTAATAATGTATAAAAGAGGGCAAGGTACCTAGGGACTGATGGAGAGCATGTATGGTTCCTTTATATAGAGGGAAGGGGGACAAAAGAGAATGTAAAAAATATACTGAGTGTACCAGGTAAAGTGTATGGTAGGGTAATTATTAAAGAATTAGAGACAAGACAGAGAGCAGGATTGCAGATGAACAAGGAGGCTTTACAATGGATAAGGGATGTGTAGACCAAGTGTTTTTTTTTTTTTTTTTACACAGGGTTTGACAAGGTTAAGGATCCCTAGTTTTATTGGCAAGCTTTTTACAGGTTAAGGATTCCTAACTTTATTGGCAAGCTAAGAGCTGTTACCTACATCAGCTCATTTGAAAGCATTTTTATTGTTATGAGACATACAAGTAGGGAACAGGATGAAGTTGGAGCCATCTGTGGGCCAGCATTTTCATTTGATCAACTGACTTTATCTCGTTGACATTATTATGCTGTACAAATGTGTTCCATACTCGAGTCATCCTGGGTATATATGATCTCAGATGGAGTGATGTTCTGGAGAAGGGTACAGCCAGAGTGAAGTTGCTGCTTTCTGCCCGTCTTGTGGCATAAAAGCTTGTTTCACGCTGTCCTCGAAGTGGATCCAAGTGTGGTACCTTGACAATATTGGCCTTGTACATAACAGTAAGGCCACCCACAACACTGAAGCATATTTAGATAAAGATAGAGAAGCTTTCATTGCATTTATGGATTCAGAAAAGGCATATGATAGGGTGGATAGGGAAGCAATGTGGCAGATGTTCCAAGTGTATGGAATAAATAGTAAGTTGCTAAATGCTGTAAAGAGTTTTTATATGGATAGTGAGGCTCAGGTTAGGGTGTGTAGGAGAGGAGATTACTTTTGAGTAAAACTAGGTTTTAGACAAGGATGTGTAATGTCATCATGGTTGTTTAACACACATACTTCTAGATGGAGTTGTAAAAGAAGTAAATGCTAGGGTGTTGGGGAGAAGGGTGGGATTAAATTATGGGGAATCAAATACAAAATGAGAGTTGACACAGTTAATTTTTGCTGATGATACTGTGTTTTTGGGAGATATTAAAGAGAAGTTGCAAAGGTTAGTGGACAAGTTTGGGAGGGCGTGTAAAGAAAGTTGAAAGTGAACATATATAAAAATAAAGTGATGAGGGTATCAAGTGAGTTAGGTAAAGAAAAATTGGATATCACATTGCAGGGAGGGAGTATAGGAGAATTGAATGTGTTCAGATATATGGAAGTAGATTTGTCAGCACATGAGTTTATAAAGGGCGAGGTTAACCACAGAACTGACAAAGAAAAAAGGGTGGTTGATGCACTGAGCTATCTGTGGAGACAAAGAACATTATCCATGAAGGCAAAGTAAGGAATGTATGAGAATATAGTGGTACCAACACTCATATATGGGTGTGAAGCATGGGTTGTAAATGCTGCAGCAAGGAGGAAGCTGGAGGCAGTAGAGATGTCGTGCCTAAAGGCAATGTGTGGTATGAATATTATGCAGAGAATTCACAGTATGGAAAATTAGGAGGTGTGGAGTTACTAAAAGTATTATTCAGATGGCTGAAGAGGGATTGTTGAGGTGGTTTGGTCATTTTGAGAGGATGAAGCAAAATAGGATGACTTGGAGGGTGTATAAATGTGCAGTGGAGGGAAAGAAGGGTAGGGGTTGTCCTAGAAAAGGATGAAGGAAGGTTTTAGTGTTCAAGGGGCTTGGACATACAGCAGGCTTGTGTGAGCTTCTTATGAGTGAATGTAGACAAAAGCTTTTTGGGACTTGAGCTTTTGGAGTGTGAGCAAGGTAAAAGTTTGTGAAGGGATCCAGGGAAACCAGATGGCCGGACTTGAGTCCTGGAGGTGGGAAGTACGATGCCTGCACTTTAAAGGAAGGGTTTGGGATATTTGCTGCTTGGAGTGACATCTAAACTGTCATGCCTGAGCACCTCTGCAAGGACAGTGATTATATATGTGAATGATGGTGAAAGTGTTGAGTGATGGTGAAGTGTTTCTTTTTTTTGGGGGGTCACCCTGCCTCAGTGGGAGACGGCCAGCGTGTTCAAAAAAAAAAAAAAAAAAAATGTACATTTACAGGTGCTCCTTGACTTATGATGGTTTGATTTACAATATTTCAACTTTATGAGGGTGCAAAAGCAATTACTTCAAAGATAAAACAAGATAATTACCCAGAATGGTGGTAATGACTTACCACCTTCATGCTGGGTAAGTCTCCCACTGAGGCAGGGTGACCCAAAAAAAAGAAACACTTCACCATCATTCACATATAATCACTATCTTAGCAGAGGTGCTCAGGCATGACAGTTGAGATGTCATTCCAAACAGCAAATATCCCAAACCCTTCCTTTAAAGTGCAGCCATTGTACTTTCCACCTCCAGGATTCAAGTCTGCACAACTGGTTTCCCTGAATCACTTCATAAACTATTCCTTGCTCACACTCCAACAGCTCATCAAGTCCCAAAAAAACTTTCATCTATTTTCACTCCTAACAAGTTCACACATGCCTGCTGTATTCATCCATTTACTTTTCAGTACTGGCATTTAGTTAGCTACAGTAATTGTTTGCTTATTTACCTATTCAGTGATAGTAGTTATTTATTTATTTATCACATCATATTCTTATTTAACTTAACGATATTTTCAACTTGCGATATTTTCGACCTACAATGTTTTTGACTTACGATGGATTTGTCATAATATAACCCCATTGTAAGTCAAGGAGCACCTGTATGCAATACAAATACATGTATGAACACCAGCCATTAGCCCAAAGAAACCCACCAGGACTTATTATATTTATTTTAATCAGGGGGAAAAGTGACGAACCTTGAGGCAGGGACTGAAGAAATGGTTTGTTAAGTGACAGAAGCTGTTTTTACTAGAGACAGAGACTGAAGAAATGGTTCGTTAAGTGACAGAAGCTTTTATAACTAGAGATAGGAACTAAAGAAGTGAAACGTTAAGGTAATTACACTTTCCCATTGCTAGGAACTGTAGATTATATTTATAACTTAACAAGGATTGTATAAATGTTTCTTTAACAGAAGACTGTGTTATAACATAGGGACTGAAGGAATATTTCATCAAGTAACAGAAGACTATATTACAACTTAAGGTTAGGACCATGATGATAATATTCCATATATAAATAACAAAAAAAGGCACAATACCGTGACTGGAACGATACACAAATAACCCGCACATAGAAGAGAGGAGCTTACGGCGACGTTTCGGTCCGACTTGGACCATTTACAAAGTCACACTGGTCCAAGTCAGACTGAAACGTCCCCGTAAGCTCCTCTCTTCTATGTGCGGGTTATTTGTGTATTATTCCATATATTACTACAGTAGCAAAATGCTCACCTTAGCATCATGGTTGAGTAGCTCTTTTAAGACCCAGATGTCCTTGGTGCCACAAGAGGCATGGAGAGGGAGGGAGCCACCATACCTGGCACTGTTGACAACCTTGGGATCTTTCTGTAGGATATCCTGTAGGACTCCCATGTCACCCATCTTGATAGCCTGTCAAGAAGAAACACTCCAATTACTGTCAGTCTCATCTCACTGCCAGTCTCACTGTCACTTATTTATAATCTCTATATAAAATCTTTTAATATAACAGTATTAACTCATGAAATCTTAATGACACGATTCCAAACAACACCACAGGCTGGGTTAGAACCCACAATCAGAGAGTCTCAAAACTCCAAACCGTCTCGTTAGCCTCTGGGCCAGCTAGCCGTGACGGTCTGGAGTTTTGAGACTCTGATCGAGGGCTCAAACCCTGCCTGTGGTATGGTTTGTTTGCAATCATGTCATTACGATTTCATGAGTCATGTTGATGGCTTTGAGGGGATGAGCTAGAGTTCATCACAGCCATGCTAGCTGGAGATTCGTCTGTAAAAACTTGCATTTGTGGTCACAGTGGTGCCTATGCTAACCTTCCTATGGTGTATTAATATACCTAGTTGGATGACTCTTATTGTGGCTAGCTGGCCCAAAGGCTAATGCGATGGTCTGGAGTTTTGAGACTCTGATTACAGGTTCTAACCCTGCCCATGGTATGGTTTATATAATAGTATTGCTGTGATGAACAATAACTCTCATAACCTATGTACTCATTTACCTCTATGAGTTTAATGCTTCCTAATAATAATAATACAGTGGAACCCTAGCTTACATACGCCCCACTATGCAAATTTTTCAGGATATGAACTGTCGTTTGGTAAAATTTTTGCTTCTGGATACGAACAAAATTTCACGATGCATCTTTCCCCCTCAAGGGAGGGTCTTTAAATAAAATATTTATTTCTTTGCAAAGGTTACAATGTGTGTTTACATATCATAATATGACTGGAGCAAAGAAAGTCATTATCATGCCGAGGCACTTTGGGCAGGGTAAGGGAGGGGCGAGCCTTTTTCCAGTTTCAGGAAATTAAAATTGAAAAATTATGGAAAAAATTATTCTTACCGAAAAATAGTACAAAATTCTGCTTGTTTCTATCGTATTTCTAAGTATGTTTTTCATTAAATGTACAGTATTTTTTTTTTTTGTTGCTGCTGTCAGCAAAAATACATGTTGGCAATTAGTACTTTTTTTCTCCAAAAATTACGATTTTTATGACTGTTTCATTGTAAATAACCTACATGGCATATTCTGTGCTGGTTTAGAGTGTGGAGCACGGTCAGTGTCTGCCTCAGTAGCCGGAAGGCTGTCAACAAGCAAGGAGGGGTGCAACATGCTCAGATTTGGCAGGCGGTAACCGTAGAGTTTCACACCAAACAAAATCAATAATAAATCAGAAATAAATTATTGACACTGTAATCCCAATCCTGTGATAAATATTAATAGGATTGTCATGATTTTTGCAGATGTTTTTGAGAAATGATGGTTCTACCAACACCCAGAGAGGATTTGTGATACTGTTTACAACTTTGTTTTTAATGATTTTTTTGTACACAAAAAAACAATAAAAACAAAATTACTAACTCCAACATTTTTTTTTATGGAATCTACTAACATTATCGCTAAACTGTCCTGGGTCATTATTAAGAGACAATACAATATGTGTCAGGGGCCCAAGACTGTTCAACTGCCTCCCAGCATACATAAGGGGGATTACCAATAGACCCCTGGCTGTCTTCAAGCAGGCACTGGACAAGCACCTAAAGTCGGTACTGACCAGCCAGGCTGTGGCTCGTACATTGGATTGCGCGCAGCCAGCAGCAACAGCCTGGTTGATCAGGCTCCGATCCACCATGAGGCCTGGTCACAAACCGGGCCGCGGGGGCATTGACCTCTGGAACTCTCTCCAGGTAAACTCCAGGTAATCTAGCCTTTATCTTTCATCTGATGTCAACTAGAGCTAACAGTCAACACAAACACAGCCTATATGTTTTTTTAAGCTGCTTAATTCACTGTCACAATCCCATTGAAATCTGATGCTGACGGGGGGTGCCAACTACTGGCAGCCCTTTGAATTTCTCCTTACTGTTATTACATATTATTATTATTATTATTGTTATTATTATTACTATTACATTGTATTATTATTATTGTTATAATAATGATAATAATTATTATTCCTAGGTAGTAGGTTGGTAGACAGCAACCGCCCAGGGAGGTACAGTGGTCCCTCGATAATCGTAGTTCTCGAGAATCGTAGATTTCGGAAATCATAGGGATATTTTCGTATAAACATGGGCTCGCTAATCGTAGATTGACTCGCAAATAGTAGTTCATCCGGGACAGGTACACACAGCCCCGAGCCCCCTCACACTCCTTTCCCAGCCAGTGTGCCATTGTTTATCAGTGAGTGAGGATGACCCCACGAGTTCATAAGATACATTTCATAATATTCCATTCGTTTTAGTGTTTGCAACTGCTAAATAAGTCACCATGGCTCCAAAGAAAGCTTCTAGTGCCAGCCCTTTGGTAAAGAATGTGAGAAACACATACAATTTAAGAAAAAGTTTGTAGGAAAATATGAAGGTGGTGGTGGTAGAGTGGAAGCAGTTGTGATAGTGGTTGATGGTGGTAGAGATGGTTGTAGCAGTTGTAATAGTAGTTGTAATACTGGTTCTTATGATGAATGGTTTGAAAAACCAACAAGTTGAAGATTGAGACACTTATGCAGCATATGGGAATCTTTATTCAGGAAATGTTTCGCCACACAGTAGCTTCATCAGTCCAATACAAAGAGGAAGGCGTAAGGAGAGGAGGAGTATGAGGTAATCAGTCCCTCAACCTGGAGTCGATGTGTTCAGTCCATCAATCTTGTAGAATGTACAGCATAGGGCCGTAGACGTGGCTTATATACTGTAGTGAGGTGAGGTGAAGCAGGCGGAGGTGGGGTCATAGTGGTACCATCCACCAGTCGAAGTAGGTCTTCGTCCAAAGGTTGAACAAGATTGATGAACTGAACACATCGACTCCAGGTTGAGGGACTGATTACCTCATACTCCTCCTCTCCTTACGCCTTCCTCTTTGTATTGGACTGATGAAGCTACTGTGTGGCGAAACATTTCCTGAATAAAGATTCCCATATGCTGCATAAGTGTCTCAATCTTCAACTGGTTCTTATGTTATTGAGGCTAGGACTTTGGGTAGTTTCAAATTTAAGTTGGATAAATATATGAGAGAGAGGGGTTGGATTTGAGTGGGACTTGCAAATGAGTGGATAGTTATCAAAGCTTATTTCTTGGGTAGCATTGAAAATTGGGTTGGACAAATGTTTTGTTAGTGGGATGGATTGTTAAGGACCTGCCTAGTATGGGCCAACTGGCCTGCTGCAGTGATCCTCCATTCTTATGTTCTTAAGCCTAACCTCAATTATAGGTAAATTACTTTACCGCCCAATAAGCCTAACCTCAATTGTAGGTAAATTACTAGAGTCAATTATAGCCGATAATATAAGAAGCCATCTCGATAGGCATAATTTGATTAATGATACTCAACATGGTTTCACCAGGGGCCGTTCCTGCCCAACTAATTTATTAACCTTCTTCAGCAAAGTTTTTGAGGCCGCTGACCAGGATAAAGAATTTGATATTGTTTATTTAGATTTTAGTAAGGCTTTTGATAGAGTACCACATAAGAGACTGTTGAAGAAAGTGGCTGCTCATGGCATTGGGGGAAAAATGCTGTCATGGATCGAGTCATGGCTCACTAATAGGAAGCAGAGAGCGTGCATAAATGGGGTTAATTCTGAGTGGGGATCTGTAACAAGTGGCGTTCCGCAGGGATCAGTTTTAGGTTCATTGTTGTTTATAATATATATAAACGACCTTGACGAGGGAATTACTAGTGACATAAGCAAATTTGCTGATGACACGAAGATAGGTAGGATAATCGATTCAGACGTTGATGTCTCACAACTTCAGGAGGATTTAGACAAATTCAATTCGTGGTCAGAAAAGTGGCAGATGCAGTTCAATGTAGATAAGTGTAAAGTTCTAAAGCTCAGAAATGTTCATAACCCTAGCACCTACCAGCTTAATAATGTTGAGCTTAGCAGTTCAGCATTATTAAGCTATGTACTGCATATGCTCTCAGTAGCCCTTATATACCCAACAACACCACCAACATACCACTCGTTATTAATATTGTTATTAATATTAATAACGAATGGTTATTACTATTATTAACCCTTTCAGGGTCCGTCCCGTAGATCTACGGCTTTACGTTCAGGGTCCAAACCGTAGATCTACGTCATGAGCTCAGCTCACTCTGATGAACTGTGAGTGGTAAATTTGGGCCTAGATATGAGAGAATACATCTATGTGGTATGTGTGCACCACATACAACAAATCCTGCAGCACACTGTGTATAATGAGAGAAAAAAACTGAGACCGTGATTTTCGATTAAAACAGCGACTTTGCAGTGTTTTTTCATATGTTTTTTATAGTTGTATTTGTGATTTCTTGGTCTCATTTGATAGAATGGAAGATATATTACAGAAATAGAGATAATTTTGATTGGTTTTAGCACTGGAAATGGCTTGAAACTGAGCTCAAAGTGGCGGAAATGTTAAATTTTTGCCGATGTTCAGGAGTAAACAAACGACCTCACACGTCTAATACACGCCAGCTGGTGGGTCTAATATACATTCACAAATGTGGTGATGATATTTATACAATTATTACAATATTGCATAACAGTAAATCTTCTATTTTTTGGTGTGAATAAAAATCCATTATGTGAATAAAAAATCAAAATGGAATTTATTTGTAATGCCTCAAAACATAACTAATGAACAGAGGAAATGTTAGTTTAGTGCCAGGAATACCTACATTGTTTATTCTGGAACCTATTTTGAAATTGGAATATTTTGAACTTTGTGTTAAATTGGCCAAATTACCAATTTCCGGTCACTTTATTTTGTAGTTGAAACAGTTGACTTGGCGATTTCTTGTGCTCAATCGATAGAATAGAAGAGATACTAGTGAAATAGCTAAGAATTTGGTTGACTGGAATAATGTAATTGGCCTAAAATAGAAGTCAAAGTCGGCAAAATCGCCG